CCTGGGCTTGAGTTGTCGCCCTTGGTCGACCTGAGCGTGGTCTGTCCTGTGTATCACGGTATCTGGACCATAGCCTGCTTATGACAGACTGAGAAACATTCATCGTCCGCGCCACAACCGCCTGTGTTGTGCAGATCTGTAGCATGCCAAGGGCACATAACCTTTCATTTTGGGTAAGCCGACGCATATCAAAATTTGTTTTCTGGTCACTAAAACAATTAAACTGATGTTTCCACCCTGGAATTCAATGCCACAATGACTGTAACATTCAAAGTCAGAGTCGTGCAAATCTTGGGTTGGACCCCCATGATGATCCCAAGCATCACCTGCATTCCATGCGGTAGCTATTGGTGCGTTTGGGCGTCACATTTAACTGGAAATGTTTCTTCTGTTAGGTTCTATAGTGACTTTTTTCGTAGTCATTTGCATATTTTAGTATTATGCCCCCAAAATCAAATATCCCCTACTTTTTTTGAATAGTATATATACTAAACAGCAAAAAAAACATCAGTACGATTTAAAAATCAGAGAGGCACTTTAATCAAATCATTCTAAAAAACGACTTACTCAATGGATCAATGCAATTTTTTGTGAACAGTATGTTGACACATTAGTTATTAATTCATCACAATGCCAAGACATGACGAGAAGGTTTAGAGTCTGTACACAGTCTATACATCAGTATCTAGTATGTCCACCACGAGTGTCAATAACAGCAGTGCAGTGTCTGGACATGAAGTTGACCAGACGATTGATGAACGCCATTGGCACCTGGAACCACACTCTCAGAAAAGCCTGGCGCAATCCACCGGCTGTGTTTGGTCTCGGTACGACGTTATTAAGTCTCCTCTGAATTTCATCCCAAAGATGTTCAATCCGGTTTAAGTCCGGACTAAGGGCTGTCCAGTGCATAACGTTGACACCGTTCTGCTGTAGAAAGTCCTGAGTAACTCTGGCGGTGTGGGCACGGGTGTTGTTATGCTGGAAAACGTTGTTTCAAAGACGTGCGAAATGTGGTATAACGTGGGGTCTGAGAGCTTGATCGATGTAGCGCACTGCTGTGATGCCGCCTCGTCTCCCTGGACCAAGATTTTGGAACACCGCAGGACCCACTCCGCCCCAAACCATTATGCTTCGACCTCCCCATGAGTCTTGTTCCATGACACATTGGTCAGAATAGCACTGGCCACGTCGACGCCATATTCTGGTCCTGCCAACTGCAGTTGATACGCAATACCAACTCTCATGTGAACAGAACAGTTCTCCATTGCCTGTGTCGCCAGTTCTGGTGTTGTTGGGCAAACTGTAGATGTTCATGTCGATGGCGAGGGGTGAGGATAGGATCGGTCCACGATAAGGTCTACCGCAATGGATGTTCTTTCTGGTGAGACGTCGGGGCACTGTATCGCTACTGATGTGTCTTCTGTGTGTTCCCACTGTCTGACGTGCTGTTTCAGATGCCTGGGTGAAGGGATTCTGCACAGAAGGGGGGTTGCACAACATGGCGTTCTTGTTGCCTTGTGGTAACCCTTGGTCTACCAGTTCGGGGGCGATCATCCGTGGTGTTGGTAGCCCGAAAGCATTGCTGAAGCCTGTAGATGGTCCGAACATTAACCTGGATGTGATTGGCAACAGCTTGGGCAGTATGGCCAGCGTTGAGTCTTCCAAGCTGTCGTGAGTCGTGGCATGCTGCTGACGTTGTAGTGTGAATGATTCAAGCAGGTATGGGGGTGCATTTTATAGGGCTGGTCCCGGTGAACAGCATGTGCAGCATGAGTTACATGAAAATCATGGAGAACACATTACTATCTCAATTCTGTGTTTGGGAAGGAACCTTATAGCTCAGATAAAGTTGGAGATGTGGTCACAAATATACAATAAAAACATTTGGCAAGTTTTATGCAATGCTGCTATTGAGAGTAACATACCAACCTGTTTCTTTTGCTGCTAAGTATATAAGTTGACCAACCAAACCGTTGCTACACCAGATACTAAAGATCAATCACAACTAACAGACAAATCTATAAACATAGCAGTAACAGAACCTTTCCCACTTTTATCATAGGTTCCTCTGTACTAAAGAAAATAAATTCTTGAAGGCTGGATAGAAATGGCAACACAACAGTTAGAGCAATATCAGGCGGTGAAATAAGGGACGCAACGAATCTGCTTGAAAGGTGCTCCTCATCCAAGGAAGTAGAAAAGATAGTGTATTTAATAGGCTCCAATAATGTTTCTCACAATATGAACTTAAATAGTTGCGAAAAAATTTACAGGCAGCTAATTGAAACAAGTCGAAACAAAATACCCAAATGCAGAAATCAACTTCTTGAAATTACTGCCTAGAAGATTCACCACATTTAACCAGCAGTTTGAATCCCGAAACACAGTCCTTGAACAGATATGCAGTGAACGAAATTGTACCTTTATCCCAGACCATGTTAGTTGCTTTGCTAAAGATAACTCAATAAAAGAATATCTCTATTCTGATGAACACATCCCAACTACAAAGTCTCAGCTAAACTAGCAAGTCATCTAAAAACTACTCTAAATCTTGAAGTAAGAAAGTTTGGTCAGACTAACAGGAATAAATCTCCACGCTCTGCATTCAATGTTGTTAATGACAAGGGTATAGTTCCTCCCCCGAGGTTCACACAACTACTTTTTTGGCTGGTCCCACCCATGCCAGATATGCGGCTGCCACTACCAACTTTTCTCTACACATATCAAGCTCCAGTCAAGAATTCAGCTGCTTTCATTGATGGAAAAACATACAATTCTCCAGTCCAATTGCAACACTGAAGGCCAATACGCTAACCGTCACCACAAACTCTAATCTGTAACCAGTAACTTGATTGTCTTCTCGTTCTTGGGGTTGTCAGTCTACTTTCAATTCTACCCCTACCCCTCCCCTTATTAAGGTACAGAATCGAATGAAACTTGGCAGGTACCCTTTGTAAGGAATGCCAGTCCCTGTTGTTTTTCTTTACTCAAAGGTCGTTTAGTTCTTGATTGCAGCTAACTATGTTCACGTTCATATTTTTAGGACTTAATCATAATCCCTTAACCAAGTGTCAATGTATGGTATGTCATGGCTCACATAGACACCAAATCGATCCTGCCCCCTCTCCTAAAGTGCCCTAACTTTGATCTGCCCACCCTCATTCTGAGGCCCTAGCATGCCCTTGGCTCATTGTTGAACTTAGCCATGACTTTACACTAAGTTTTATTATGTCCTAAATTTTCTGCCATTGAAATTGTTATCTCCGCTCATTATTGAACTTAGGTCAGGGATCTTAATCAGCTCATTATTGTCGGCCTCCAATACCCGTTATCTTTCCGTCATTTTCGGAATGGCGGTAGGCAGTTCATTATCAAATAGTTCACTGCATATCATGATCCATTTGTGTCACATTATTTGAATCATTTTGTGAAATAAATTCGCTGTGTGCTTCAATATAGGTTTGGTCATCTTAGCTCCACTGTCGATGTTGGTGATCGAAATCAGACACAGTGAGCTGAGAGAGGCCCCTTTCATCATGCCTGCTGCCTACTACGCTGCTTCCGCAATGAGCAGTGGTCGGCCAGAGAGTCTAAATAAAATTTATTTGATGCTTGATCAATGCAATAGTATTAGATCTGAGGCAGACTCGACCTCTCTTAATCCCCAAATCTCCAATGGGATTTCCACATATTTTGACCCAGGGGAACCAGTTTATTACCAAAATGAGGAAATGAGTCGAAAATGGAATCAGCTACCTCCAAAACGTATATTTTGACACCAAATGTGGTAATTTTTTCAAATTTGCATTTTCCCGCCAAAACTGGCCGCCATCTGGAGTTATTTCCCAATATTGACTCTGCGGTATAATTATTCACCAAAATGTGTATGGAAATGGATTCATCTACCCCGAAAGGATACATTTTGATACCAAGCTCGGTCATATGATGATTGGATACAAATTGACATTTTCCAGTCAAAACCGGTGGCCATTTTGAATTTTGGCCCATTTGACCCATTTTGGCACAGATTTCGGACTGGTACTTTGTTTGGTGATAATATACTCTATACCAACCATAAATCGTGGTCGACATGCCTATTGCAGCAATTGTCTGCACTTTTGCTATCCATCCATCTACAACTTCAAATGAAATAGCTAACAAACCATCAGAAAAGAACAATTTTCGTCATAACGTCATAACAACCCCTTATAACGCCATGACGTCACTTGGAAACACTGCACAACACTCACAGAGTGATGAATTGCTAAAATATTGCGTTTATAATAGCATTGTCTTACACCTAAGCCTTCTTAAACAACAGCTTTGATAGAATATGAGCAGAAAAAAAAGGGATTTTGGTCCAATGGCGGCCATTTTGTTTGACATCATATTTAGATCTGTGTTTTAATTAGATTGTCAATTCCTATACGAGAAATAAATTTGCGTCCAGTGGATGTTAAATGACCTAATTTTACTTGCTCATTTTAACTCCTATCTATTTAAAACTTAATAGAGATCCTATATAACTGCTAATACCAGGTCACCCACCCTGCAACATTTTACATTAACTCTGTCACTAGTAAAGCATGATAGGATAGCATTTCAAAATTTTGTCCCAGGAACGTGATTATGAGTCCTAGCTAGAGTGAAAGAGTGTAGAAGTACTTGACTGAATTTGTTAAAATAATGTATTTATTTGTTTTAAAAACTGTAGTAATTTGGTCACATGTATTTTTTACATGGTGATTTTGTAATCATGAACGTAACCGCACAGAGTAAATCTGTGGTAACCGTTCCAGTCTGTCTGTAGGGGTCAATGATAATAATATGCATTTTCACAAAGTCAAAGATGTCTGCAGGGGTCTGTAACCTGGGGAGGAACTTGGGTCTGTGAACAAATATATTTAAATACAATTGCTGACAATTAGACAGTTTAATAAAAAAAAAAAATATCTTTTGGATTGTAATTTATTAGTTTTTGTTTCATTATATTTCAGAATTGTACATCTATCTTGTAGATTGAGTGATAAAAAGTTGTTTATAATAAAACAGATACCAGTTGAACAAATGACAAAAGATGAACGCCAAGCAGCTTTAAATGAAGTCAAGGTTTTGTCCATGTTGAATCACATCAATATTATTGAATATTATGAAAATTTTCTGGAAGACAAAGCTTTAATGATTGTCATGGAATATGCACCAGGTAAAGCTAAATTAATTTTTAATCAAAATAATTTAAACGTCACCCTTCATGAATAAAGAAAATTTAAAAAATGTTCTTCAAATTATGTATTGCCCTGTCATGCCTAGAACCACCTCTTTACTATTTTAATACTAATAATAGGTATTGAGTCCTGTCTGTGTCAGCTGAGGACTAACACATGTAAAGTCAAATGTTTTGTATGATTTGCTGACCGATTTTTGTCATAATTAATTAATTGTCCCCCGCCGTCTGTCTGTCTGTCTGTCCGTCCGTCTGTCTGTCCGTCACACTTTTTGGGACACAATAACTCTCCTTCTAATTGACCTAGAATGTTCAAACTTGGTGTAAGTGTTTATTAGGTCAATGCCTTGATGGAGTTCGAAGATGAGCATTTTCTGCTTAGGGTAAGCAGAGATAAGTAATTTGATTGGTTGATGCTTTGGGACACAATAACTTTAGTTCTAATTAAGTGAGAGTGATGAAACTTGGTGTATAGTTTCATTACATCAATACCTTGACTAAGTTCGATAATGAGCATTTTCTGCTCGGGGTAAGCAGAGCGATAAGGAATTTGATTGGCCGAGACTTTGGAACTCAATAACTCTCCTTCTAATTGAGGTAAAATGTTTAAACTAGGTGTATGTGTTTATTAGGTCAATGCCTTGATGGTGTGTAATGAATGAGCAGTTTCTGCTTAGGGTAAGTAGAGATAAGCAATTTGATTGGTTGATGCTTGGGGACACGATAACTTGAGTTCCAATTAAGTGAGAGTGATGAAACTTGATGTATAGTTTCATTACATCAATACCATGACTAAGTTCGATATTGAGCATTTTCTGCTCAGGGTAAGCAGAGCGATAAGCAATTTGATTGGCCGAGACTTTGGAACTCAATAACTCTCCTTCTAATTGAGCTAGATTGTTCACACTTGGTGTAGGTGTTTATGAGGTCAATGCCTTGATAGACTGCGAAGATGAGCATTTTCTGCTTATGGTAAGTAGAGATAAGCAATTTGATTGGTTTATGCTTTGGGACACGATAACTTTAGTTCTAATTAAGTGAGAGTGATGAAACTTGGTGTATAGTTTCATTACATCAAAACCTTGACTAAGCTCGATGATGAGAATTGTCTGCTTAGGCTAAGGAGCAATACGCATTTTGATTGATCAAGACTTTGGAACATAACAACTCTGCTTCTAATTGAGGTAGAATGTTTAAACTTGATGTAGATGTTCGTCTTGACTGAGTTCAATGATTAACATATCGAGCTAAAGCTAAGCAGAGATAAGCAATTTCCTTGGTCGATGATAGAGAGTGATGAAACTTAGTGTATAGTTGATAATCAGTATGATTGCTCGATACTTTTGAAAAAAATAGACGTGCGATTAATTATAATGTGTTATCTATTATTTGGGGATTTCGGCGGGGGACATCAGCCTCACTGTTGGCTTGTTACCCTGGTCTTAGATTGACACAAAAGTTACTGTCATCTCCTTTACCTCCGTTAAAAGCTCATTTCTCTGAAACTAGGAGATATTTCGTGCAACATTAGATATACCATGCACTCTCATACTAGTACCCAATTACAGGTGAGTAAACTGGAATGTCAAGAATTATCAGACATGACAAATTGTGATTAACATTTATGTACCTTTTCAGACTTTCCACTAATCAATAATAGAGGACATCTGGGAGCTGAAGATTTAGACTGCTTGGCAAACTTTTCATCAGATAATATTCCCTTATTAAATTTGGTCTTTTATAATGGACAGGTTAAAAATAACATTGTATTTCAGGTGGAACACTGCTTGATTATCTCCAAAGTAGAAATGGTAAATTGTTAGATGAAGAGGTAAGTAAACTAAGTATGATAAAATGTGGTCATCTGTCGCCCCTGTGCATCGGTGTGTACATCTTCAATTCCAGATGTTCACATGAAATTCATACACAAGATTAACGAAGCCTGTTCATTTCATTCAGAGTTATTGTCCTTGATCGCTTTGAAAAATAATTTGATTGACATGTTGTTTGAGTTAATGCTATAAAGAACTTTAATGATTTCCAATAATTACTACATGTGTTGTTGGGAGAACACTAGATCAGAGACGATCCTGCACATATGACGTCATATGTGGCTTGTGTATTAGGATTAGGGTAAGGGTTAGGCTTGGTCCCAGGTTAAGGGGTTAACGCTAGCCCTGTTTACATCTCGAGACTTTGACAAAATCTGCAGGTTCTAGCCTTTACCCTAACCCTAACACACAATCCACATACAACGTCATATGTGCTCAAATGTGCAGGACCGTCCCCTTTCTAGCGTTCTCCGTGTTGTTGCACTTGATAATGTTTTAGTGTCTTCTAACTGCTCAAATAACCTATAAAAGAACTATTATAATCCACAGACTTCGACATTGCAAACAAGACTTATTGGTCAGTTTAAATCAACATTATTGATGTTGTTATCTTACCATGAAAAGATGGGCTTCTGGTATTCAATATTTAAGACACAATGAACATTTTAAAATTGGCACACGAATCGCATGCCAGAATGCGTCCGTGCCCCATTTGTAATGAAGTGACTCGATGAACGAGGCTTAACATAATCCACAGGAGAATACTTACAGTGTAGGCTGGAATAACCAGACGCCAAAGACTGCCATTCAATTTGGACTCTTCGCATAACTGATTAGAAAGTACAGTAAAAACAGAAACGATTGAATGTAAATCAGTTTATATACATTATTATTACATTATTGTGTTGCGACCCATTTGTGTCCATTTCTAGGTGACAAAGAATGGGGATTTAGCTCCTTTAAGTGACAGATCTGTATCAAATGTCAATTGTTGCATGAGAAACTTATTAAGATAACAATTAACCATTTCCATGTAAATAAAATATTTGTAATTATTATTATTAGAAAATATTGAGAAATAATGTAGTTTATGTATGTTACTGTAACTATTACAACATGTATTTTCTCTTTTCCAGGAAATTCTCAAGTTTTTTGCTCAGATGCTTTTATCTCTGCAACATGTTCATTCTAAACAAATTTTACACCGGGATCTTAAAACACAGAATATACTCCTTGATAAAAAGCAGGAAATTGTCAAGATTGGAGATTTTGGAATCTCAAAAGTGTTGAGCAGTAAAAGTAAAGCTTTCACTGTAAGTTATGTCATTAAAAAATTATCAATAATTTTACTAGTGCATTGCTTGTTCATTACTGTCATACATTTTTGGGTATCGAAAGAACTTAACAAAATATAGATTTATTGTTGGGTGATAGCAATGATTTCAAAGACTTTAATATGAAGGAAGTATATTGTTCAAATGGAAACCCTTGATTTGGTTCAAATATAAATTTCTTGGTTTGATTACATTTTATGTTTTTCTAAAGATTTGTTTTCTTTATAACTTTGCGTCTGTGGATAGAGGCACTGGTTGAAGTGATCAACAGTTTAATCTTTTCAAAATGAAAAATTGAACCATTATAGAGCTTGTGCTATCACTAATCAATATTATTCAGTGCCTTGTTTTGACCCAAAACCAAGAGGTTTAGCACCTACAATCAACTAGTAACTGTTTGGCGATGAAGGTGCTTGAACTGCTGGTATTAAAATAAGGTGTTGTATTTTATACTTGCAGGTTGTAGGTACACCATGTTATATTTCTCCAGAATTGTGTGAAGGTAAACCGTATCCTTGACAAACATATCTTAATTATAGCTCTTTAAACTTGTTAACTGCAAACATCAAAGTCCTTTGACATACAATTTAGGTATATTTTGTTTCCATTGGTTCATTACCAAGGTTAAAGAAGTCACATGAGTACATGTATCATAAAGTAGGGTAGTCTGACTCTAAGAATTCTGATCTTTGAAATTACAGTAATACCTGGTAATTGTTGGGTTTTTTTCATACCAAATAATAAATTATAAATGCAAATTAATCAGGTCAAAGTCAATTAAAGTTGCTAAATCAACAAATTAATTCCTGAATAATGACTGTCATTGTCAACCAATGAAATTGCACATTATGTCATATGGACGATTTCATTGGCCCACAATGATCACTCAGCATTAAACTGACTGTACCAATTCTTGACTGTGTAAGGTAAATAGAAGAATGAGTTGGTTTATATTACATGAAATTATTTTATCTTTAACAAGTATTTAGTTATAATCAGAAGAGTGATATCTGGGCATTAGGTTGTGTATTATATGAATTAGCAAGTCTAAAACGAGCATTTGAAGCTGCTGTAAGTAAACAAAAATAAACCTTATATTCATACAAACTGTATTTTAAGAAAACTGGGTAGAAAGTCTGTAGTCAATCATTTTGTTACCATACTAGCTAGAGGGCTCAGCCACATGTTCACTCATACTTGTAGTGTAGTGTCATTTATAATAGTATCTGTATTAATGTTAGCATTATTTAAAATGTACTGAACTTGACAACTTTAAAATAATTTGTAGCAAGAAATATATTTTTCTTGGTAGTTTGAATATATTTTCCAATCTACTGTTATGTTGTTAAAAGCTATTGAGGAAATATTTTAAACGGACATATTGGTGTCATATGCCGTAGTTAATTGTTTTTGTGTTCCTTGAATTAAAACAGAAGAGAGAGTTTAAAGTTCCAATACTGTATTGTGTCAAATCATAATGAAATACCAAATCAATACAATGTACAATTTTAAGTCAATAGATTTACAAATGAACTGAGTTACAAAAGGATGGGGGGTGGGGAGAAGAGCTAACTCACTTGGCTGTGCAGAAGCACTATTTGTAAATCATGTTAGGTGTGTAATTGTAGGAGGCGACACGTGTTCCTGAGAGGCGGCGTAGCAGCCAAATTGTCATTTCGACGTAAATCTACGTTTAGCTAATGATTTGCTCGTTTGATTTAGCTCTTAAAGCTTACATATGCAATTTACGCTCATACATGAAAAATAAGTATGATTTAGCGCGCATATTATTATTAAAGTGCAGCCAGCACTTTTGAGCTCAAACTGAACGTGGACTAACGAATATATTTTATGAACCATATGCTGCCATGGTTAATAAGCAATGATAAAATATAGTAAAAAAAGGTTACGCATATTTACACGTGAAATAAAAATAGAACTTTGACTCTCCAGTATGTATTAGTAGCCTATGCTTAAATAAGTCAATAATTAAACCAATCGAAACTTATAAACATTTAAGATACATAATGCAAGAGAAATTACATATATACAACATGAACAAATAATGTTTGACTAAATAAAATATAATGGAGAATAAAATCATGTAAGAATAAAAAATGTAAATAACATTTTAGCTGATGAGGACAGCAAAACAGGATAACATGGCTTACCTTGAATTAAAACAGAAGAGAGAGTTTAAGTTCCAATACTGTATTGTGAAGATGTTGAGTCTTACATTAGTATTTAAAGGCAGATTAAGGATTAACTCAAGGAAGACACCTGATGGGATGTGGTCATAACGGCCCTCTGCCATAATGGCCAAAACAGGTCTACTTTAGTCAAAAACAGATTTGGTCAAAATGGTCTACTTTAGTCATAACGGCCAAACAGTTTGGTCATAACGGCCAATAAATTTGGTCATAATGGCCAAAAACTTTAAACGTAACGGCCAAACATTTTTAATTAAATGGAAAACAATATATTTAAACAAAACATCGATGTGGTGCTACAGTTATATAAATCATGTGTCCTGGAGACATAACAACCCAAGCCAACCTGGAAAATTACATGCTGTAAAGTGTAATTGTAATTCAAAGGAAAGAGGTGAGTACTAATTAATCAATTGATTGGATAATCCCTAATTATCGCTCAGAGAAACAGAACCTATTTGTTGTACCAAAAGTAAAAAGTAATCTTGGTCTCCGAAGCTTCAATGTGGCTGCTCCGGCACTATGGAACGAACTTTCACTTAAACTGAAAAGTGTAGACACCATATACATCTTAAAAAAGAAACTAAAAACTCATTTTTTAACAAAGCTTTCGCGATTCCCCCATTCGATCTTTAATTATTTTTTTTTTTAGTTTAGTTGTTGTTGTAACAGCGCACCAGAGGAGCTAATCTAGCTGGATGTTGGCGCTTTATAAATGTCCATTATTATTATTATTATTAATTAGGTACTTCACACCCTCTGATCTGATTAGGTAATATATGAGATAAACATTAATCATTTATTTTTTAATCAACTAAAGGAAAAAGAAATGGCCATCTCCAATCCATTCAGAGAAAATCCAGAGAACCTAATCAGAGCAACTAACAGAATAAGAAAAAAAAACCTGTATTGCGTTAGAAAATTTCTAAGTTATTTATTATGTTGAAAGTTATAATTACAAAGTAACAATATCATGTTATAATATTACAAAATTTGTAGTATTAAAAAATATATTTAAGGTTAAGCTATATTTACAAATATATTTTAGGTTAAGCTATATTTACAATTTTATTTTACAGGTAAATGAAGATGTAATATCTGATGATTTTTTACGTGCCGATATAAAAGTTAAAGGAGAAAGACATTTGATGTTTTCAACCACAAGACAGTTGGCTTTGCTTACTAAATCCGGGCAATGGTTTATTGATGGGACTTTTAAAATTGTGAAAAAGCCGTTTTATCAACAATGTAAATTATGTATTTAGATGTATTATGCATGTGAAATATTATTGAAATAAATTTTATAGTTTGTATGTTTTATACAATGTATTATGTATGTGAAATATTATACTTTGTATTATGTTAAATGTAAATTTACGTATTAAATTAATGTTTATGTAATGTATGTATTTATATTATGGTATTATCTATTATGCAGTATTTATATGAATAAATATCATTTCGTACATGTAATATTTGGTCTAAACCTGCCATGGTCTGGGTGCTTAGGGTCTAATTGACATCCATTGTTTTAGATAATCTTTTAGTTCTGCTTCAATGAGGAAATACAGTTTTAATAGACATAACTCTCTCAAGATGGTAGCCAACCTTAATTAATGAGGGTAATTAATTTATTTGAAACAATGAACCAAAGATTATAATCAGTGATATTAATCTGAAAAGGCCGACACATGCATTTAGATTTAGCTAATTTTAAGTGACTGCCTGTAATCTACCCCTCTATAATATATCTTTAATTTTGAATTACTTTAATATTGATCGAACATATCAAGATTCTATTTCACAAAGTTCAATACAGGAGAGGCTATATAGCATTATATGTGCTTTATGAAATGGGCCCTGGTTGTTTTTTTTCATTAAATGCACCATGATTTATATTTTTTGACAGACTTTACCAGCTCTAATATTAAAAATAATGAGAGGAACCTTTTCACCTATATCAGAATATTACAGTGAAGAATTAAGATCATTGATATTAAGTATGTTACATCTAGATCCAAATAAACGTCCACATATAAATCAGATAATGGCCCAGCCTATAGTCATCAATGCTCTCATGTATCTACATACTGATATGGGTAGTGTACCATGTACAAGGTAATGTTATTCTCTTTTATCTTTGGGTGATGGTGGGCTTGGGGGGTAATGATCTAAAGTGTAGGAATACACATCAATAGTAATTATGGTCTGCATATATGCATTAGTGATTTTTGTCTCAAAATATTCTGTTGCAACATAGATAATACCGTATTATCTATGGTTGCAAGAAGTAGGTTCTATCTGTACCTGTCTTAACTTTTGGCTGTTTCCTCTCAATGCTAAGATGTGATGGCCACTGGCATAAATATCACCTGTTTGTCTGATAAGTCACTTATTGGTATATTTGATGTTACCATTATATTGATTAATTCAAGGACAAAGGATGTCCTTTATTGTAATGAGTATTCGAAAAACACACAGATGCATAGTTGAGTTGACTAATGTAAAACACTTGAACTGGCATGAACAACAGATTTTAACAGTTGAGTTCGATTTCTTTTAGTCGAATGTAACCGTTTGTTAGATCTAGTCAGATTCACTTGAATAATTCGTACTGAATTAGATTAAAGATGCATTATGTAAGAGCTAAATCTGCTTATTGCTTGTCTTTATTTTGGCTTTAAATGTTATATAAACTATTATTTAGGCATTTATTAACATGACAAGTGGATAAGGATGCCTGTGAAATTTAAAAATTTAACGATAAAATGGACAAATTAAACTAAGTCTTTATTGTCCAGTACTGTTGCTAACGATAATAAATAGTCTGCGCTACATCTTCCAAAGCCCATAATTTCATGCAGAATAAAGTAATTTGAATGAAATTTTCAATATATTCGTTTTTCATTATCTATGTTTGAACTATTATAGAGCAAGAATGACCAGCTCTTTATCTAAGTTTTACATAATGCATCTTTAATAACATTATGCCTCTGGCTTAAAGCTTCTTTTTTTTAAGTCCTGAAATGACTTCTGTCTCTATCTTTTGTCTGTGTAAAGCTGTTTATTGCCTCTAGAGTAGCAAGGCAGACGTCTGTACAGGCATTTCTATTGGTAATATTTTCCCCTGCAGTTTGAAATATTAAAATTAGAACTATATAATGATATTGGTCACATTATATATCATTAGGGTTATCATATAAACTACAGGATATCTGTCTTTGTGAATGATGAGAAGTCTGTTGATGAATTAATAAAATTTGTATGAATCATTTTTCGTAAAGTCAGTTGGGATTATTTTTAGAATATGTCGTCCACTATCAAATATGCCGTCAACAACTAGAGGTCGAGCTTCAGCGAAAGGATATATGTCTCCTAGAGGTATGGGGTTTATTCAGTAATAGATACATATAGTTTTTCTTTGAATCTTGAAAACTCTATATATTTGGGTGAATTTTCATCCACGTTGTTAAGGGCAGGAATTGTATTAGCCCATAGTGTTAAGTGAAGTCACTCATACAGAATAAAATGAAATGAGATTTAATTTAATGCCCTGTTTTTGGCACTAATAAGGGATTGTCACTCATATGACCTTTAAAGAAGCATCATTACTCTCACCCCCCGCCAAAAAATATAATAAAGTTTATATAATAGTAAGATATTTTCATAAAATGTGTTTGTTAACCCGTTAAGCATGATGTTTTGAAAACCTTAACTACCCCCTATTGTGTAATTAATTTGACGAAGTGACGAAGAACTATGTACTATGTTCTAAGAATAGGTTGGGGAAAATACCTCCAAGGCGTTATATTACGCCCTACACACAGTGAGTGGCAGTTGTCCAGGACGTAATATAACGTCCTACACATGCTGCGATCGTCAAGTGACGAACTATGTTCTAAGAATAGGTTTGGGAAAATACCTCCAAGGCGTTATATTACGCCCTACACACAGTGAGTGGCAGTTGTCCAGGACGTTATATAACGACCTACGCACTTAATGGGTTAATATCTTTGCAAATCTGTAAAGATTTTGTATGTTATAACGTATATTTTGCCTAAGTTATCTCAAATTTTATATACGATCTAATTTGACATCCCCACATGACTGTATATATAGTCATATAACATCAATCTTCAAAGCACTACTCCCTCTTTAGGGTATTCTCGTAAATTTCAGCACTTATATAATGCCTAATATTTATTTAGCTGATTGATATACTTGTTGGTTGTTGTATATTATTACAGAATGTCTACCAGTTATAATACAAGCATTAAGTTGTGTTTATAGTTGGGGAGGTGGTGTTAACAGTCCTATAAAACTACCATTACCAAGTAGTGAAACACAAGTTGTTCAAGTTTCAACAGGAAGAACTCAAAAAGCAGCTGTAACCAAAAATGGACGACTTTTTTTCTGGGAGGTACAGTAGTTCAAAACCAATTTCATGTTTGTCTTTCTTTACACATGGATTTCATCAACCGTTTTAAATTTTAATTCCTAGAAAACAGAATATGGGTTTATTGCCTACCAATATTTCTCCCCAAATTTGCGGCGTTTTTTTTTTAGACATTTGGTTTCAGGTTGGAGCACTTTTCTATGGAAAACCAAATAGCTCTTTATTCATTGTTCTTAATTCTTAGTTCTTAATTCATAGTACTTATGTCTACATTGTTGTCGTATTTCGACATTCGTACACTAAGTTAACATTTGTATCTTAAAATTAAATTTGTTGTTCGAGGTTTGTTTTTCGTTGTATTTCTCTGATGAAACGTAAATGTAAGCTAATTTTTTGATTTGCTAAAATAAATTTTATCTTTTTATTAAAATGTCTGATTTTTAAAACAAATATTGATTTTAAGATACAAATGTTAATTTTAGCGTACAAATGTCGAAATACGACAACAAATGAAGAAATATGAATTAAGGACTATGAATTAAGAACTAAGAACGCTGAATAAAGAGCTGTTTGGTCTTCCATACTTTTCAATGTGGTTTTCCCTGTCAGTTGTGCAAGGACAGGGGGTCTGACTAGTTGGTTTTGGAATTCTAGAGTAAGCAGAATTAAACTCCACTGTCTGGGAAAAAATCTCTCACATAGCTCACGGCATGGCATTTGCCCGTATTCATTAAGTCTTGATTATTCCATAATAATAGGAAGGGGATCACGTGGGTAAGACGCTGGCTCGTTAGCCTGGGGGTCGGGTGTTCGATCCCTGCATTGGCCAAGAAAGTTCATCCAGATTTTCCGGCGTGGTTCTCCATTGTCAGCGATGCAGGACGGAGGGGCTGACAAGGAAAGCTGTCTAGTCGTTCGGATGGGACGAAAAACCGAGGTCCCGTGTACACATTGGCGTGCACGTAAAAGATCCCTTGGCAGTTGGAATTCGATATAAGAGTAGGCCGTAGTGCTGCTGTCCGGGCAAAATTTCCCTCATAGCACACTGTATGGCGTATGCCCGTCTTCATTAGCCCAGGTTAGGAGCAGAACAGTAGGACGTTAAACTCCATTTCATTTCATTTTCATTTCAGCAAGCAGTTATCTTAATTTTTGTGCATCTATAAAGAAAAAACAAATTCCTTTTTTATGCCCACATTTAATGTTAATTTGTTCGAACTTTTGAGCATGATACAGGACATAGTTCATAATGAAACTTTTATAAACTTACTCAGTGGGATTTAAGAGCTAGCACTAATGACTTTTGCCCATCTATGTTTGTATTTCTTATATCAAATTTATCCTACATGGTTATATATATTATGCATATTCTCTCCAATTTTTTCTACATATAATAAAATGAAATAAAATGGGGTTTAACTTCCTACTGTTCTACTCCGACTGGACTAAATTCTTTTGGAGTTCTGGCCCTTGATTCACTGTGTTGCACCTTGTGAACACTCTCCCGACAAAGGTTATCATCCAATCTGTATGACATTTATATGCATCATTTAAATTAGAAATTCATGCAATGAAGAATCCTAGCAATTTATATGCATTATTTAAATTAGTAAAACAAAAACGTTTGTTGAATTTCAGCAATTTCTGTAAATTACTTCCAAAGTTGAGGCCCTTGTTTCAGTTTGTAGAACCTTGTGAACCCTCAAACGACAAAAGTTATAATCTAATCTGTACGAAATTGTCTTGTAAATGCCCACCATTACCTACAAAAGAATAGATATGCAACAACCCTTGTTGACCACTCGGATGATTTAGCTGCTGTTGGCATATGTTTCGTTACCTGGCAACATATCTTTGATATTTTGTAGTCACCTAGTGTTAGTTGTGAATCGTTAATACCAGGTACAGTAGATAACGCTACACCAGTTTATGTACCGAGATATTTAGAAGGTCAAGCTGCTGTAACTATACATCATGTAGCATGTGGTGACCTGTTTAATGCTTGTCTAACAGGTAAATTATTCCATTCATCTTGTCAAATTTAATTAACTGTCTCTGGGTTTTCTAGATTACTATATAACTGCAAATATAATCTTGATCATGCCCAGTGATGGGATTTCAAAAAATTTCTTGTCAGACATTTTTTCCCAAAAATAAAGGGGCATAACTCTTATTGTAATTTAAGCAGACGTTTTCAAAACACAATTAAGAATCACATGTCAACAAAATATATTCAAATTCATATGTAAAAAAAAAATAGGTGCACCTCGTTATATTTCATGTTTAAAACCCGTACGGTATTCAATTTATGTCAATAATATTCCTACAAAATTACATGACATCGCAATACTATAGAATGCCAACGTGCCGACTGCTGCCGATCTGTTTCAAACTCCCCCAAAATTACCGTATTTTTCGGGTCATACGTCGGTACATTTTTCAGCAAAGTATATTAATATAATAATATAAATAAATATTACTATAATATTTATATGAATAGATCGAGGTATATTAATGACATATGGTAGTGGTGCTAATGGTTGTCTAGGTCATGGTAACCATAATGATGTCACTCAGGTAAGTTTTTTTGCCCAAATTCTTGAATCTTAAAGTGAATATAATGGCCATCACTGGAATGTCATTTTTTTGCTGTCATATTTTTCTTGTCTGTTTATAATCTTTCCATCCAGAGAATCTGAGACACAATGTATATGTCCGGTGTGACACAGTGTCAGTCATAGACTGGCCTGTATTACAGGAACTACATAGCTGGTATTAATAAAACCTAATAATTTATTTTACAGGCTAAAATAGTTGAAGCTTTGTTAGGTTATGAAGTAGTAGAGGTGTCTTGTGGTGCATCACATGTTTTAGCTGTAACCAATGAACATGAAGTATTTGCTTGGGGACGAGGAGATAATGGTATTATAAAATTCATTTAAAATATTGTTATGACAACCAATTGTAAATCCACCAATTAGCAATGAAATAGTTTGATTTCTGTATTTAATTACAAGGGACTGCTATGTATGGAATTAAATACAGCCAGCCTTTAAAGCAAGCATCTCATTTGCGCTTTTTTTTTTTACACGCCCACATTTTCATGTGGACGTATAGTGTCGTCAGGACGTCCGGACATCCACAATTGTTTGTGGACAGTCTACAGGTCACAATTTTTATCCGATTTCAACGAAACTTGAAATATATATTTATCTTCCTAAGATCTCGGTTCCTTTCGATATTGGCATGTATCGGATGGTAACTTCATGGATTATGGCCCCTGATTGTACGAAAAATCGTGTTTTTAGATTGTGATCCCTCTAGAGGTCACAATTATAATCTGATTTTTAAAAGTGTTGAATATATCACCATTACACCGTAATGATGCTTTGAGTTCGAATTTCGGGAAAATCATACCAAAACTGACGGACAAAATGACCGTCCCGCATATGCAAATGGTGTAAAAAATATGGTATATCAAGGTTGTGGACCCTCTAGAGGTCATAATTTTGATCCAATTTTGATGTAACTTGAAATACATGTTTATAACCCAAAGATCTTGGTTCCTTTCAATATGTTCGTATATCAGATCGTAACTTCCTGAATTATGGCATTAATTGTACGAAAAATCACATTTTTAGCTTGTGGTCCCACAAGAGGAAACAATTTTTATCCGATTTAAGAAAACATCTAAATATTTCACCATTACACGATAATGATGGTTGTGTTCGAATTTTGTGAAAATCGGACGAAAAATGCTGGACAAAATGGCCACCCCTCGTACAGAAATAATTTTGATCCAATTTTGATGAAACTTGAAATACATGTTTATAACCCAAATATCTTGGATCCTTTCGTTATTTGCGTATATCGGATTGTAACTTCCTGAATTATGGCCCTTGATTGTATGAAAAATCTTGTTTTTATATGCCCACATTTTCATGTGGACGTATTATGCCATGGCCCCTGTCCACAATTTGTTTGTGGACACTCTACAGGTCACAATTCTTATCCGATTTTGACGAAACATGAAATATAGGTTAATCTCCAAAAGATCTCGGCTGCTTTCGATATTGGCATGTATCGGATCGAAACTTCATGGATTATGGCCCCTGTTTGTACGAAAAATAACGTTTTTAGCTTGTGCACCCTATAGAGGTCACAATTTTTATCCGATTTTGTTGAAACTTGAAATGTAAGTTTATAACCCAAAGATCTCGATTCCTTTCGATATTCGGGCATATCGGACCGTAACTTCCTGAATTATGGCCCCTGATTGTACGAAAAATCGCGTTTTTAGCTTGTGGACCCTATAGAGGTCATAATTTTTATCCGATTTAAAAAAAAACGTTTTATTATATCACTCATTACACCCTAAGGACGACTGAGTTCGAATTTCGTGAAAATCGGCCCAAAATTGACAGACAAAATGGCGTAAGAATATGGTATATCAAGGTTGTGGACCCTATAGAGGTCACAATTTTTATCCGATTTTGTTGAAACTTGAAATGTAAGTTTATAACCCAAAGATCTTGGTTCCTTTCAATATTCGCGCATATCGGACCGTAACTTCCTGAATTATGGCCCCTGATTGTACGAAAAATGGCGTTTTTAGCTTGTGGACCCTATAGAGGTCATAAGTTTTATCCGATTTAAAAAAACGTATAATTCTATCACCGTTACACCCTAAGGACGACTGAGTTTGAATTTCGTGAAAATCGGCCCAATATTGACAGACAAAATGGCTGCCGTTCGTTCTCAAATAGCGTAAAAATATGGTATATCAAGGTTGTGGACCCTATAGAGGTCACAATTTTTATCCGATTTTGTTGAAACTTGAAATGTAAGTTTATAACACAAACATCTCGGTTCCTTTCAATATTCGCGCATATTGGACCGTAACTTACTGAATTATGGCCCCTGATTGTACAAAAAATCACGTTTTTAGCTTGTGGTCCCTATAGAGGTCATAATTTTTATCTGATTTAAAAAAACGTATTATTATATCACCCTTACACCCTAAGGATAGCCGAGTTCGATTTTTGTGAAAATCGCCCCAAAATGGCTGCCGTTCGTTCTCAAATTGCGTAGAAATATGGTATATCAAGGTTGTGGACCCTATAGAGGTCACAATTTTTATCCGATTTTGGTGAAACTTGAAATGTAAGTTTATAACCCAAAGATCTCTGTTCCTGTCGATATTCGCGCATATCGGACCGTAACTTCCTGAATTATGGCCCTTGATTGTAGGAAAAATCACTTTCTTGTTAGCTTGTTCTCTATCCATCTCTCGAAAATGTGGGCGTATCCTGCCTGGCAGCCGCTGGTTAGCTTGTGGTCCCACTAGAGGTCACAATTTTTATCCAATTTAAAAAAAACGTTTGAATGTATCACCAATACATCCCAATAGTGCTTGATTTCAAATTTCCTGAAAATCGGACCATAACTGCCGGACAAAATGGCCGCCCCTCGTACACAAATAGTGTAAATATAAGGTATATGTTGTGAACCCTTTAGAGGGCACAATTTTGATGAAACTTGAAATACACATTTATAACCCAAAAATCTTGGTTCCTTTCGATATTTGCGCATATCTGATTGTAACTTCATGAATTATGGCCCTTGATTGTACGAAAAATCGCGTTTTTAGCTTGTGGTCCCTCTAGAGGTCACAATTATTATCCAATTTAAAAAACAATTGAATATATCACTGTTTGTTACGTGGTAATGTTGGTTGAGTTCGAATTTCGTGAAAATCGGGCCAAAGTGCTGAACAAAATGGCCAGCCCTCTGGCATATCAAGGTTGTGGACCCTCTAGAGGTCACAATTTTGATCCAATTTTGATGAAACTTGAAATACATGATTATAACCCAAAGATCTTGGTTCCTTTCGATAGTCACGTATAACGGATTGTAACTTCCTGAATTATGGCCCTTGATTGTACGAAAAATCACTTTTTGTCCCCCGCCTTTCAAAGAAAGCAGGGGACTATTAAAATGGGTTCGTCCATCTGTCCGTCCGTCCCTCTGTCCGTCGGTCGGTCTGTCTGTCTGTCCGTCACACTTTTTGGGACACAATAACTCTCTTTCTAATTGAGCTAGAATGTTCAAACTTGGTGTAGGTGTTTATTAGGTGAATGCCGTGATGGAGTTCGAAGATGAGCTTTTTCTGCTTAGGGTAAGCAGAAATAAGATATTTGATTGGTTAATGCTGTGGGACATGATAACTTTAGTTCCAATTAAGTGAGAGTGATGAAATTTGGTATATAGTTTTAGAACACCAATGCCTTGAATAAGTTTGATAATGAGCATTTTCTGCTCAGGGTAATCAGAGCGATAAGCAGTTTGATTGGTCGAGACTTTGGAACGCAATGACTCTCATTCTAATTGAGGTAGAATGTTCACACTTGGCGTAGGTGTTTATTAGGTGAATGCCTTGATGGAGTTTGGAGTTCGAAGATGAGCAATTTGATTGGTCAAGACTTTGGAACATAACAACTCTGCTTTTAATTGAGGTAGATTGTTTAAGCTTGATGTTGATGTTCATTAGGTGAATGTCTTGACTGAGTTCAATGATTAACATTTCGAGCTAAAGCTAAACAAAGCTAAACAATTTTATTGGTCGATGCTTTGGGACCAGATAACTTTGATTCTATCCGATAGTATAGTTGATAGTATAGTTGATAATCGGGTTGATTGCTTGATACTTTTGAAAAATATAAATGTGCGATTAATTAATATGTGTCATCTATTTATTTTGGGATTTCGGCGGGGGACATCAGCCTCACTGTTGGCTTGTTTTTTTTAGCTTGTTCTCTATCCATCACAGGGGGTTGGATGGCTGAATGGTTAGCGTGTGCGCGCTCTATCATAAAGTCTGTCATTGAGTCGACTGGCGTGGTTTCGAATCCCCGGTTGTACGTGACAAGGAGTAGGGTCGCCTGTCCAACCTCGTGGGTTTTCTCCGGGTTCTCCGGGTTCTTCGGTTTCCTCCCACTGCTAAAGACCCCTACGCGTAAGCGAATTATTGAAATAAAATTAAACCATATGTTAGTCCCGAAATGACCTAGCTTGTGTTGAGTGGACGTCAAACCCCATTTCTCTCTCTCTCTTTCTCTCTCTATCCATCGCTTGCAAAATGTGGGTGTATCTTGCCTGGAAGCCGCTGGTTTAAAGAGAGAGCACTGGTTTAAAACTGCACAGTTTTGAACTTAATCAGTATAGTTAACATCCAGGTTATCAATAATTGTAAATTTATAAAAAAGAACATGTTTCAATTGATCTGACAGTATTACAAATTATTCATGGAAGATATCAGCTTGAACTTATTGATTTCAGTTATATAATTGTAGGTAGATTAGGTCTGGGTAATCAAGAATTATATACATCACCACAGGAAGTAACTATACCTGATGATATCTTACCATGTAGTGTACACTGTGGAGTTGATTCTTCTCTCATTGTTACGCAAGATGGCCGATTATTAGCGTGTGGATGTAACAGGTAAATATATACAAACTTTCACATTGAATGAAAGTTGATTGTCTTTTATAACAAATAATGTAAACAAATATTGCCAGATAAGTTCTAAAAGTTATAATTATTATCACTGTTGGAACTCAAATTAATCCAGTTGAATTTGGGAGTAATTGAGTGTGTATCACGTTCTTGTTGTCACCATTTTTATATGTCCACATGAAAATGTGGTGGTATATTTTCGTCGCCCCCATCTGTCATTCAGTTGGTCGGCCCGCCATCGGTCCGCCGTTCACAATTTCTTGTGAACACTCTACAGATTACATTTATCATCTGATTATTTTGATATTGATATATTTTGTTTACATTAGTGAGATAAAGAAACCTATTTAATTTCAATAATTTCTGTTAATTTCTTTTGGAGTTATGTCCCTTGTTTCACTTTATTGCACCTTGTGAACACTTTGACGCCAAAAGTTATCATCCGAATTGTATGAAATTTATGTGCATCCTTTATATTAGTCAAATGAAGAAGCCTATTGAATTACAGCAATTTCCGTTAATGACATCTAGAGTTATGGCTCTTGTTTCACTTTGTTGAACCCTGTGAATGTTCTAACACCAAAAGTTAACATTGGATCTGTATGATATTGATATACATTATTTAACTTAGTGAAACGAAGATACCTATTGCATTTCAGCAATTTTTGTCAATTACGTTTAGAGTTATGGCCCTTGTTTCACTTTGTTGAACTTTGTGAACACTCTAACGACAAAAGTTATCATCCGATCCGTATGAAATTTATATGTATCATTTAAGTTAGTGAAACAAAAAATCCTATTGAATCTCAGCAATTTCTTTTAATTTCTTCTGGAGTTATGACCCTTGTTTCACTTTGTTGCACTTTGTTGCACTTTGTGAACACTGACGAAAGTTATCTGCATGGCATCATGTAGATTAGTGAAATGAAGACACCTATTGAACGTCAGCAATTCTCAATAATTACTTCTAGAGTTATCGCCCTTGTTTAACTTTATTGAACCTTGTTAAAGCTTGAATGCTTGTTTCAGTTTGCAGCACCTTGTGAACCCTCAAAATGCTCCCCCCCCCCCCCAATTACCTACAAAAGATTAAATATGTGACAACCCTTGTTGACTGCTCGGACGATTTAGCTGATGTGGGCGTATGTTTCGTTGCCTGGTAACCTATCTGTATTAGACCACATTGAAATGTGGGGTTGTTTCGTGTTGTCACCCCTGTCTGGCAGTTCATCTGTCAATCAACCACAATTGCTTGTGCTCTGGAGTTTTGAAATTTATGTAGTGTTTATATTAATGAGATGAAGATGCCTATTGATATTCAACAATTTCTGATAATTATTTACATTGATCACTTTGAAAAATCTTGCAGACACATACAATTGAGTTGAAAAGTATACACAGTGTTAATGTTCTGTTAAAAGAAGAATCCTATTGATTTACAGTGGTTTCCGTTACTTACTGTTGAAGTCAATGAAACAAAAATGCCAATTAATTTTCAATAATTTCCAATAGCTTGATTAGCAAAAGTTGAAATCTGATTATATTAGTACATGTTCTGTTTGTGTTGGTGATACGAAGAACTCAAGTTTGTTCAAATGAAGCTGAACTAGACATTTCACACATTTTTGATTTCTTCTCCTAAACCATTGGTCACATTTGGACTTATTTGTATTTTAGGTTTAATAAACTTGGTTTAGATTGTGTATTTAATGATGGTATAAATGCTATAGTAGAAGAATGTCATACATTTACACCAGTAGCTACACATCCTATTAATATCATTACAATAAATAAAACAGCTTTAGGTACTTCACATACAGCTATATTATCAGGTACGTATTAATACCTTTAATTTGATGGTTGTTACCTGTTCTCATCCATCATCAATAATTGTTTGTATATACTGTAGACACTATAGTATAATCCTGTCTTTCAATTTAAACAATTTCGCATGATTACATCCAGAGTTATTGCTCTTGATTTTTTTTTGTAAAATCATTTCTCAATGCTTTAGTTTCATAGCAATATTAGGTTGGAAATGTTGCTTAAGTTGGGTTTCAGAAAGGTCTCTACAGCTGTCAACACATCCTGTAGTTAATATTATATGACAATCACAGATCATTATTACAATCAGATACTTGTCAAGAAACATAGGGGTAAATAGTATTAAATATTGCAGTTATTTGGTTACTTTCAGTAATTATTAATGATTGTTGATGACAGTTAACAACAATCACTATAATGACTATATTTTGGTGTGCTTATTAGGGCTCGTGCGTTAATTATCTCCAGTTCATTGAGTTTATATATATCCCACTGCTAAAGTAAGTGAGGTACAGATTAATTAAAATTAGATCTTTTTTTTGATTTGAACATGAATTAATGCACAAAGATATAATATTTATTAGTCGCTATTCATGTGACTATGATGACAGGATATATAATAGCTTGATAATTACTAAAGTCTGTTACTGAGTCTGCTATGTTTCTATGTGACTGTAAGAGTAGATAAATGTTTATTTTAGGTGATGGACAGCTATGTATGTTGGGAACAAATCAGTTTGGTCAGCTTGGTAGTGATGAAGATTTAATACCACGACAACCACATCATGTTAAAACTTTTGGAAACTGTAAAATAAACACAATTGCATGTGGTGATACCTTTACTGTAGCAGCTCTTGAAAGTAAATATTGATAAATAGATTATAAACATTTTATTTTATAAACACCAGAAAAAATTATTGTGAACCATTCTGATCGGAGCTAAAGGTACACAGTACAAAAAAAATAGGTACCCATGATGGATTGTCACTAAATTAAATGGGATGGGACACTTCCTATCAGATCTTTTAAGATTCAAAACCAAGACATTACATTTTTGAATTCAATTTCCTAAATGCTTAATTATATTCATTTTAATAAGTTTGTGATGTTACATAACGGAAATATCAACATTAAATTTATTATAGAAATAATAAAATTCGAAAGTTTTAAAACCAGTCTAAAAGTGCTGGAAAACCAGTCTTCTCGCTTGATTCCAGTAAGTAACCAACAAGTCTCATAATGTTAATATTGGATGATATACTGTATATAGTATACATAGGGTAATTTAAGAATATATATTATTATTATTTTAAACAGATGGTGATGTATATACATGGGGTAAAGGGTCAAGAGGTAGACTGGGACGACCAGAAGAACAATCAAACATCCCTAAAAAACTGACATTTTCAGGAGAAGATCCTTTTTTTGTAGTCTCTATATCTTGTAGTCATGGTAACACTTTGTTGGCAACAAAACGTAAGTTATATCTTATAATTTATTGTTTAGTTTGTTACCATTTAAATTCAATAAGCTTAAAAAATAATAGCTCTCATGTATGTTTGACTCCATCGATTATGACAAATTTATAATTGTTGTTATAAAAGATCAAACGAATTGGAAGAGGGTTACGGACTATATATATGTAATTGTGAACTTAGCTCTATGTTGAGATTGAAACAAAATAGTTCATGCTCTTTTAAAAGCTATCTCAATGTTTTGGTTGTTTTTTCAGCATTACCAAATTCAGAATCTTTAGTGGATTAAAGTTTCGATTCAGTACCTTGTCCTACTTTTCGGTACCATGCAGACTTCTATGGGGGAAATTTGCCAAAGCGTCTATATGTGCAAGCTATCATGAACACCATGGCTTCCATTTCAAAATTTTCGCTGCCGGTCATTTTTTGATAAAGCATGAAAACTTTGCAAAGTACAGTGCACTCTGTCACATCCGACCTCTGATCACTCCGGCATTCTGTTACATCCGACACCATTTTCATGTCCCAATTTATTTCCTTATTACTTCAACCAAAAAATCTCTGGGTAATTTGACCGCTGTACGTTCCAGATTACGACATCAATCAGCCGACTGTCATACAATTTCCATTGAATCGACACCGTATAATCCGGCCTTCAATCGTTGGGTGTGAAGCAAACACTTACCGATCAATTATCCGTGAGATTAAAACTGGATGGGTGTGAAGCCACAAAAGATTAAGAAGCAATCACCAATCAATTATCTGTGAGATTAAAACTCGCTACCGTGGGTCTTTGTTGATTACTTTGATAATTTTAATCTCTTGTACGACAGTTTTGACAAATACTCAAGAATATCCACGAATTTTCCCCCGAATTCACAGTCGTAAAAATATTCCCAGCACCTGCTGGAAACATTCGTTGCGCATACCGATTGAACCTGAATAACCTATAAGTTTGGTCACCCCACGGATCTCTTCGAACCGTGTGACGACGACCTGGGGGGTGCTCGATTCACAGTCCGGAACGTCCCGAATTGACAGAATTGCAATCGAGTGACGCGGAATTCAGTCCTGTCACAGTTCTGTCAGTCCCGACAACGGAGGTGGTGTGAGTAAGTTGTGACGTAATTAAACGGATGGGATATTTATATATCCAGTCCACGCATGAGGTGTAGCCAGAAGTACCCATTTTCACTCGATTGTCACTATTTTTGGGATTGAGAGAATTCAATTCTGGAACGTTCAATCGAGTACGCCCATTATCAATGAACACGTGATAGCAAAGACAAGAGTGCGATCAACTGAAGATGGCGAAGAAGATAAATTAACGACAGACTTGACCTATTCAAAATGCCTATGCATGTTAAATGAAATAAAAATTAATGTAATAAAATTTTGAATGTACAGAAAGGTTTATTATTTTTAAAGGGAATAACATTCTGGTGATTCGAAGTTCTATGTTCGAAGCTACATTATAATAATACTTCCGGTTTTCGAAGTTACAATATTTCCGGGTTTGAGAAAACTGGGTATTCCGACACTCTGCGTAATCCGACATATTGTAACGATCCCGTAAGATGTCGGATGTGACAGAGTGTACTGTAAATGCATATTTCATGGTAGGGTATTGTGAATTCACGTGTCTATACCACTTTGTTAGCATGGGTACACAAAAAATTATATATTGGACTTAAAAATGATAAGGCTTATGATAATTATTTATTAAATATTCCCTTTTGGCTACTTAAATAATCGAAATAGCTGAATTGGCCATAGAAAACTATTCCAGTAGCTCACACGTAATTACCACATGCTCTTTAAAAAAAGCACACTGACCTGGATAATTTTGATTTGTAATATAATAAACTTTGAAATGAAGATAAATATATAATTATCCACGGCATATTTCTCACAATTATTGGTTTTAGACCATCTCTTACGGCATTACGGACCGCAGAATTGTGACATAAATCCTAATAATGAATAACTAACGGATAACTAACTTACAGCTAGCGACACTAGCGTCCCCTAGAATATCGTTGTGTATAATAAGAGTAACCATATATACACGACATCTTTGCAACACGTGGAATTATCAATATTGCTGTACAATAGCACTGGAATATGTAATATTCTTAATTTTTCGGTAAGCAAGTTAACTAATCTGTAGATTTTATTTCTACAATTGTTGAGGATCTATGTAATTTCTATGCTGTTTTTTATTTAATATGACAGTTGGTTGGATTCGAAGAGCAGTACTTCATATCAGTTGCCCTTTTTTCGAAGATCATAATAATCTTGTTTACATCGTGCGTGACCGTAATAGCGGTAAACAGCTTTGTTGCAGAAAATTCTTTTGAGACGTGGACAATACACGAGTGTTCAAATAGTGAATGATTAACAATGAACTGCTTCACGCCATTGATAAGATTCCCACATATCAGTTAACTTTTATTGTTCTACTACCAGACACTCATCATTAACGACTATGTTTACAACTCTATAACACCAATCATGGAATTATGTGGCTTCAATATGTGTGCATTATTTTGTACTGGCCGTACAATTGTATAGTTACATAGTAGAGGTCGATCATAACCATGTTTAAAAATAGAGTTTTGCAAAAAAAGGTTCTTTTTCTGGCATGCAAAATGATTGACGGGTCAGATCTAGTTACGGTCATTTTCCATAGCTCTAGGTCTTGACCGGCATATATGGCCGACATGGAACCCATGATGTACACAATGCTACGTATTGCTGTCGCAATTCCTTGCCAAGTCCTTCGTTCTGCACTACTGATCATGGCAAAGCCAGGCTGGAAATTCAGAAGAACTTTCAAGACCAACACAGGCATCCACCCCAGTACCTCTTGGCTAGCGCTGTACTCAATGATCTACTGTGGCTCAGTCCATCCAATACATGTTTATTTACATTTTATGTGCAATCTATATTTTTATAACTATGCATAACTTTGTGTATATTGTTTGTAGATGCTTTGTTATTTTTATATGCCCACCTATAGAGGTCATAATTTTTATCCGATTTAAAAAAACGTATTAATATATCACTGTTACACCCTAAGGGAGTTTGAGTTCGAATTTCGTGAAAATCAGCCCAAAATTGACAGACAAAATGGCCGCCGTTCGATCTCCAATAGCGTAAAAATATGGTATATCAAGGTTGTGGACCCTATAGAGGTCACAGTTTTTATCCGATTTTGTTGAAACTTGAAATGTAATTTTATAACACAAAGATCTCAATTCCTTTCGATATTCGCGCATATTGAATTGTAATTTCCTGAATTATGGCCCTTGATAGTAGGAAAAATCACTTTCTTGTTCTCTATCCATATCTCAAAAATGTGGGCGTATCCTGCCTGGCAGCCGCTGGTTATCCAATTTAAAAGACCGTTTGAATACATCACAGTTACAACTTACACCCTAAGGATGGTTGAGTTTGATTTTCGTTATAATCGGACCAAAACTGACAGACAAAATGGCCGCCCCTCGTACTCAAATAGCGTAAAAATATGGTATATCAATGTTCTGATTTTGATGAAACTTGAAATGTAAGTTTATAACCAGAAGATCTTGGTTCATTTCGATATTCGGGCATATCGGATCGTAATGTTGGTTGAGTTCGAATTTCGTGAAAATCGGTTCAAAACTGCCGGACAAAATGGCCGCCCCTTGTACGCAAATAGTGTAAAAAATATGGTATATCAAGGTTGTGGACCCTCTAGAGGCCACAATTTTTATCCGATTTTGATGAAACTTAAAACATATCTTTATATCCCAAAGATCTCAGTCCCTTTTGATATTTGCACATTTCAGGCCATAACTTTCTGGATTATTGCCCCTGATTGTACAAATAATTGCCTTTGTTTTTAGCTTGTTCTCTATCCATCTCTTGCAAAATGTGGGCATATCCTGCCTGGCAGCTGCTGGTTCTGACTTGTTATGGTACGGCAGTTCAGGTTTTAGAACGGTACGGTCTATATTAACAAAAATGTTCCAGTAACGTGAGAGAAAACTATAGGCACAAACTAGGTCTTTTCAGGACTAACGAACGTTTCTTTGAATTAGATATTACCAGTAGATTTATGCTACGCTAATTGACCATGTCGCTCATCAACATTTGCATTTTTAGGACAACTGGCCCTATCTAATTTTTCACGGCTTATGCAAGAGCTAAATCTGTCTATTGCAGGTCTTTCTTTAGGCCTGAAATGTTATCTAAATTATTAATTAGACATTAATTACCCGGTTGTACGTGACAAGGAGTAGGGTCCCTTGTCCAATCTCATTGGTATTCTCTGGGTCCTCCTGTTTCCTCCCACTGCTGACGACCCCTACAAGCAAGCGAATTATTGAAATAAAATTGAACCATATGCTAGTCCCAAAGTGACCTAGTTTCTGTTTCCACTGAATGTTAAACCCTCTCTCTCTGTCTCTCCCTCCCCCCTCACAAATGGTGATTGGCGGTTTTAATAATCCCTGAAGGGATAATGACAGCCATGTTGATTTTCCCCACGTGTGCTCCCGAATACTACAAGTATGGTATTTACTACTTCCTAGTGGGAAACACCATATTTCCGAGCAGTATTCGTTGTGTTTAATTACGTCATGATTCTACTCATTACACCTCCGTTGTCGGGACTGGCAGAACTGTGACAGAACTGAATTATGCGTTACTTGATTGCAATTCTGTCAATTCGGGACGTTCTGGACTGTAAATCGAGCATCCCCTAAGAGTCCATAGCTGAAACAAAGCCTAAAAGCTAGCTAGTCAAGTCAGGAAGCCAAAAATATCACTTAAGAGCGACAGAAGTTGAACAATCTTGGCTTAAGACTGGTGACAACGGTCATATTCTGGTCCACATTATTACTAATAAACCAATCAACCAATCAAATTACTTATCTCTGCTGTTCCTAAACATAAAATGCGCATCTTCGAACTCCATCAAGCCCACACTGATCAGCAGTGAATTTTCGCTAGGCCGCTACAATCACTGATAAGGATGACATCGATGTGACTTAATGAGCCAGAAATATTAACTTCTTTCCTGCGACAAATTAAATTGTACAAAAAAATTTATGTATTAGAAAAATAAATAAAGACGATTGACGTATTTGTAGGTAAAAATTATTTCCTATTTAGTCATGGGCGTCACACATGGGGGGGTCCGGGGGGTCCGACCCCCCCCCCCCCAAGTGTTTTTCTGGGGAGGGTTCTGAATATACTCGGACCCCCCAAAAAATTTACATAGTAGGCCCAAACTCTATTTATTTACAACAATTATTAGGATTAGTTAAGATTCTATCTGTATAAAACCTGTACATATTCCAGTATGGTTTATACTGCTAAAATAAAACACAGAGATAATCATCCTGGAAACATGTGTGAAGTGAAAAGTACCTGTGTTCCATAAAATTGTGTCTAGTTAGCCTGTCAGTAATATTTTGTTAATTTTTTTCTGCCACTTATCAGAGTGAATCGCATGTAGGTACCCAAAAACATAACTGCCTAAACCAAATATATATCGCCCGCTCAGCCAGCAACGTAACCATAATGCTTTTGTACGCGGTGTTTTGGTAGACATAACTGCCTAAACCAAATATTTATCGCCCGCTCAGCCAGCAATACGTAACCATAATGCTTTTGTACGCGGTGTTTTGGTAGACAGCATGGCCACATGGTGTTTGTTTATATTTTTTAGGGGTTTTAAAAAATGGGTTGGGGTTAGGGTTGCGGACCCCCCCCCCCCCAATATATATTTCACGGCTACGCCTCTGTATTTAGTGCAAATGGGTATTAAAATGAGTAAAAGTCTCCATTCTGCCCGAACTAGAACGTGTTGTAAACAATGCACGCGCCATTGAGCCAATGATTGACGCTGCGTGATGAGACGTCACATGTTAAAGGTAGTCATCTTTTACAGAGATATTAGAAGACTTTCATAATCCTCTGTGAAACAGATTGCATCAAGCCATTCACCTAATCAAAACCTACACCAAGTTTAAACATTCTACCTCAATTAGAAGGAGAGTTATTGTGTCCCAAATGACAATAATGTTGATGGAAAGATGGCAACGTTATCAGTACAACAAGGAATTTTAAAATTGAAGGAGACTAAACTTCCTTTTAGGCATTATTCGATTTAAAGAAGTAATTCCAGATAATAGTTCAATGAGTGAACTGTTTAAAGGGTGATTAGCTCTATTCTTTTGAATAGACAAAATTGGGTCGGAAAGCACATATTGTAGTACTATAGGACTGCTTACTTGTTGTGTTTGTTTCTTGGTGATCGTAACAAGACTACAGCATAAAAGAGTTTCACAACTTTATTGCTAAGCTATAATGGCTTTGCAGATTCCTCGTTCTCAATAATAATGGCTGCTAGGAATTTCTTAATGAGCTCTGATCCAACTCGCTTCTACACCCTAATTTATACCCCCTAATTTCAGCAGGTCTTCGATAACCTTGACGTTAATTTCCATCCAATATATGGAATAAACCTCTTTATTTCCCACAACTAAGATAGTAGAAGTTACCTTATTTTGGTTTACCAACAATAGGTTAATAAACAGCCAGAATTTGATGGATATTTTGACAATGATTATGATTTAACCAAAATATCACTGGTTTTTTATGTATAAATAACTATATATTCACGTTCATTAAGTACGTGTGATTTAACTCTATAGACAGAGTGAAGTAACAATTTTGCAAAGAACCAAAATTGTCTCAAGGACCAAAGTGTTACAATATGAGTATAAAGTAATATGCCCAATTTTGAATTTTTTTATTGTATATTCTAATCAATTATTAGGTGTCATGGTGAAAGATTAGATAAAGAGTTGACAATTCTCGCTTTAATAGTTAAAAATATATAATGTAAAGAGAATAAGCTGAAAATTTCAGTAAAGTTGCTTAACTCGGAGTTGACAATTCTCGCTTTAATAGTTAAAAATATATAATGTAAAGAGAATAAGCTGAAAATTTCAGTAAAGTTGCTTAACTCGGAGCCTAGAAAAAAAAACTCATTTCAATAACACTGTAGCCTCAGTTGTCATTGTTATTGTTGTAACGATAATAGACAAGTCTCGCTTATCCATTTTTACAGTTAATCACCAAGCATTGTTGAACAGCAGATCAGATTTAAATTTGTGTAAAATCAGACCAATTAGATGTCATCGAGAGTTGATTATGGTCTTGTCATGTTAATAAATGTCTAATTAATAGATTATATAACATATAACTACTGAAATACCTGCAGCTGACAGATTTAGCTCCTGCATAATGCATGTTTATTATGTTTGGTGAAATATGCGAACAATCCAAATTGAACGGCATTCATTTGCGCCTACGATAGTATATTTAGACCAGGAGCCCGGGGGATTCAACCTAGCTGAAAAGCTAACCAATTTTTATATGTGTCACTAGGTTCCCTATGGGTCACTATCACAGGATATGAACGTCTGCCGCGCCCGTTGTGGTGGGTGTGGTCAAGAGGGGCAAAAGAATTGGATCCAAGAACTAAGCTAGACTAGCTTGTTTATTAACCACATAAAAGGTGTTGCAAAATGTAAAGCATATCCAAATGTATTGAGAATGCCCACTGCCAGACATTTTAGGCGGTGGGGCGTGTCCGCCAGACTAAAAAAACAGGTACGTAGCCGAAAACTAAGCTAGACTAGCTCATTAACTAACCACATGAAACTTGTTGCAAAACGTACAGCATATCCACATGTATTGGGAATCACCGATGCAAGACATTTTCAGTGGTGGGGTACCCACCACCAGACATTACTAATTGACCAACCCCAAAAGCTAAGCTAGACTAGCTCATTTACTAACCGCATAAAACTTGTTGCAAAATGTTCAGCATATCCACATGCATCACGAATTACCGATGTCAGACATTTTCAGTGGTGTGGTACCCCCGCCAGACGTCCCCAATTGCCCCATCCCAAAAGCTAAGCTAGACTAGCTCATATACTAACTGCATAAAACTTTTTGCAAAATGTTTAGCATATCCACATGTATCAAGAATCACCGATGCCAGACATTTTCAGTGGTGGGGTACCCCCGCCAGACGTCCCCAATTGCCCCACCCCAAAATCTAAGCTAGACTAGCTCATTTACTAACCGCATGAAACTTGTTGCAAACAGTTCAGCATATCCATACATTTTCAGTGGTGAGGTGCTGCCGCCAGATGCCCCCTAATTGCCCCACCCCAAAAGCTAAGATAGACTAGCTCATTTACTAAGCGCATGAAATTTGTTGCAAAATGTTCAGCATATATATTCACATGTATCAAGAATGACCACCGTCAGACATTTTCCATTTTCGGTGATGGAATACCCCCCCAAGACATCCCTAATTACCCCACCCCAATATTTAATCTAGACTAGCTCATTTACTAACCGCATGAAATTTGTTGCATAATGTTCAGCATATTCATCTCTATTATGAATGACCACCGCCAGACTATTTGGGTGGTGAGGTAACCCCGCCAGACGTCCCTAATTTCTCCCCGCTCACCGCCCCCCCCCCCCCCCAAAAAAACCCTAAGCTAAATTAGTTTATTTACTACCAAACTATCTATATTTGTTGATCTATTCAGATTAATATGGAAGTTTCGCTCTTGTACACTAATCCACGGTGTTTATCAACTAATGGGGCACCCGTATGTATTAATATTGCTAGAATTTTTGCTCTTATAATTAATGATAGTTAGTAGATTCACATATTTGTACTTAAATCAAGTTAGCGAATGAGTGACAGATGGTTACATAAAAAAGAGTTATAATATGGTAAACATTCAATTCTAGGTTGATAACATATCTCATGGGAAGTTTCTCCAGTAAATTTCCATTACCATATAAGGGTGGGTTTCGACGTCATTTGGCTCAATTAACCAATCCCTCTAATTATTTACATCATATTTGACCAATTAGATAATTAAAGGCCCAAAACCTAAGCAACAAAACTATCATATTTGTGAGCAATCGCCAGACAGCAGTGAATTGAGAACCGAATGGGAGCTGATTTCTTGACGAAGTGGGATTTTTTGATCTTAATAAGTCGATTCTAGATGGAAAGGTGATATGTGCGGCCCATCGCTACCGCCTGGGTCTCAAATGGAATATTCCAAAAGGATGTAAACAATATGCTGTAAATAATGAGGAAATGGGCTGTCAAAAGAGCCAATTTGCTACACCGCCTCAGGTTAGTTCTTCAAATAAATGATATGACTAGGGTCAAAAATTAAACTTCATCATGGGATCATTTTCAGAGCCCAAAATAAATATTGCCATGCCCTTTAAAACTAAATTTGTATATGAAGGACATTTCTATCAGGGGCCACCTCTCAAAATATTGTTGATATCAACCCCAACATATATGGGCCATTGAAAATTTTCTTGCATCGAGTCTCCGAATGATGGACTGGCTGGTAACAGGGACTCCTGCAAATACTTAGAAAATAATTTTAGTAAATTATTTTATGTGGTTTGGTTGTTTCAGGTTACTGTTAGAACTGATGACATCCCTCCCACTGCTACATCATCTGCAGCTACTGGTAATGCTGCTTACATCCATCATCAATCTACTGCTACTACATCATCTGCAGCTATGGGTGTTGGAACTGCCACACTGCCTCTTCCTTCTGTAACAGCTTTTGGTAGTGAGTGACACCAAAGTTAAAAAAAGGCAGAGAGCTGGCCTTTAGTAAAGGTATTACAGCTATATTAGATTCAATGCAGCTGGTTTGAGGACTTCTGAAGCATCAGCGCACAACTGTTTTCTGCTAATTTGATTGTGGTCGAGCACACACACAAGGTTTCCATGAATATTTCAAAGACACAATAGTATTTTATTTCACTTAGCCATTCCAATAGGAATCGGTTGATTCCAAGTGACACAACGAGGTCTTTGTATGGCTTCTCCTTAGATGTGGCAGCATGCATCCTTTTGGAATATTCCATTTAATGCAGCTTCGTCAAGAAATCAACTCCCATTCGGTTCTCACATCACTTATTGCTATGTGATGTGCTAAAAGGTGGGCCTTAATGCCCTTAGTACATTTTTTCAATCGTATGAAGTGAATCTCTTGGTCATATCTGGG